CTACATTAAAAACCAAGCATTTGAGGCCTGGGGAAGAGGAATTGCAAGGCTTATTGAAATAAAGGCAGGCCTGCAGCAACTGCTTTGCCCAGACTGGTTAGACTAGACAAGGGCTCATGTAATTTACATCAATTCTTTGGTTTGAGATTGCTTTCATTCTCCCTACAATCCTGTATCACCTGAGAAGGCATCATGTTCCCCCTGACTCATGGAGAGTTGTGTTTTATGTTGTAATTTGCTAGAAGAGCGATTATGCGCAAGTGGGAGAATTTCACAAGCAAAATGTCTTGTCAGTGAAAATAGCAGCTTTACTCCTACATTCACTTAGCAGCAGGAGGCAGAAAGTGTCCTGGGGTTTTTGAATTATTGCTGAAATGAACTCCAGATGCCTGCAGAAAGACTGCTAAATATATACCTAATTGCCAGTTTCTTTTGTCTTAGCCACAATGCTAAACAACCTTCAAACAACAGCATTTGATACATTCTGAATTGTTTATTAGCACCTTTATGCAAAATTAAATGGCACTTGTGCAAAGCCAGAGCACAACAGCATGCCAGCACTTATAAGCAATGTCTCTGGAAGCTTGTCTTGGGTATTCGTCTTCCTGTGTGTGGGAAGTTTTCTTATAAATTACAGTCTTCCTTTTACATTACATGCACACCAATTTTATATCTCTCAGTTTTTATGCTAGAAACATTTGCATATTTATGTAATATTAATCAGGCACCAAATTTTCCTGTTTTGAATATTCAGCAAAGGAGAGCAAAACTATGCTTCCTGGCCTGCTGCCACTCCAATGACTCATCTTTGCTGACATGCAAGCTAATGGGGGTTAAGATTTAGAATTGCTGTTTCATAGAGAAAAAGGAATTGGAGAGACAAGCTTATACATCCCATACTTCATCCCTGCTAACCCTCACTGCCACATGCAAGGCCCACAGTACTGAGAACTATGACACTGCTTCTGGACTATCTGTGTTTATAGGTGTATGTAAGGGTAACCATTAGGAGTACATACATCAAGGCTTTGGTCTGGGAGTAAGTCTTAAAAATCAAAGATCGCATACACAACACAGAACCACTTACATATTCAAATAAATAAATATGTCCTTTTGTTGATTGTGGGGGAGGAGAGACAGAGGGATCGCCAGTGTAACCGCTCCATCTCTGACACCGGAGCACATAGCACACAGTCAGCTGCTGCATTCCTGTAATACACAATCCCTCTGCCTTCACTGCCTTCAAATGTCTATGCTGATCTTTTCTATCCCAGTGGCAAACCTTACCCACGGCTGTAACCTGCTGCCTTCATTAACCCAATATTCAGTACCATGGGAGCCAACATCAATACTGTGCAGCTCTCTTTCCTTTCCCTTTTCCCCAGATCTACTTGCTTTGATTTTTACCCTGCTTTTAACACACTGGGCCAGTGTTACTCTATAGAGCAGGATTCAGTAATGACTCAATCTAAAGTGACATGGAATAGTTGCTGTCATGTAATGTATACAGGTATGGGTGGGCACATCCAGAACACCAGCACAAAGCCACAGCTGTAAAGCAGGGCTCACGTTTTGACACTTGCTAGATAACTTATCACTGTGATGGTAATCTCTTCTGGGACTTTGCCAGTCAGATGACATGCGATGTGTATTAGAGACACTTGCAAAGCTCCATGATGTCTGATTCCCACTAGCCATGTCAGTCTTTAATTCATAATTTGCCCAGTCTTAGGCAAGGGCTTCCTGCACAGTGTCACACTTGGCTGCAACACTTCACAGAAATTACTCGAGACAGCATGAACCTCCAGTTTCTGAGTTTCAGTTCCATTTATAAACACAGTGTTATTTTAAACACTTCAGGTGGAAAGCATGGACTTCCCAAAATTTGAATATCACAGTAAAGATGTAAAGGATGGGAAAATCTGGACCTTGCTGATTTTCAGGTGTCTTAAGAGAAAAGGCACATTGGGCAGCTGTTTCTAGTTAAATGTGTGAAGACTAATGATCTTCAAAATTGTGCACTCTGAGCAAGATTAATCTGCTCTTTGTTGACTATTCAGCAAAGCAAGCACATAGCAGTGATCTGGTAAATTTTGTATTTGAAAAAAAAATTTCAAGTCAGCAGCTCTTCTTTTGCTATTTGAAATAATACAGAGTGAGGTTTAAATGCTGAAGTCACAGCTAAATGCACAAGGCAGCTCGCAGAATCACAGAATGGCTGAGGTTGGAAGGGACCTCTCACCACCATCCTATTCACTCCCCCTGCTCAACTTAGGTCATCTGTAGTAGGATGCCCAGGATCATGTCCAGATGGCTTTGAGTATCCAAGGATGGAGACTCAACAACCTTTCTGGGCAGCCTGTGCCCATGCTCAGTCACCCACACAGTGAAAAAGTGTTTCCTAATATTCACATGGAACCTCCTGTGTTTCAGTTCATGCTCACTGCCTTTGGTCCTGGCCCTAAGCACCACTGAAAAGAGCCTGTCTCAGCCTTCTTCGCACTCTCCCTTCATGTATCTATTATATACACCAGTAGTATCTATCCTAAGCTTTCTCTTCTCTGCACTGAACAGTCCTACCTGTGTCAGTCTTTCCTCAAATGAGAGGTGCTCCAGTCCCTTAATCAATCTTAGTGACCCCTTTGCTGGACTCTCTACAGTAGCTTTGGATCCCTCTGGCTCTGGGGAGCCTAGAACTGGACATAATACTCCAGGTGTGGCCTCACCAGGGCTGAGTAGAGAGGAAGGATCACCTTTCTCAACCTGCAGGCAACACCTCTCCTGTTACAGCCCAGGATACCATTATAGCCTTGTTTGCCACAAGGGCACATTGGTTGCTCATGTTCAACTTGATGTCTGCTGGTATCCTCAGTTCCTTTTGCTCAAAGCTGGTCAGACCCCAGCATATACTGGTGCAGGACTTTGCACCTCTCTTTACTGAACTTCTTGAAGTTCCTGTACGCCCATTCCTCCAGCCTGTTGAGGTTCATCCTCCGGATGACAGCACAATCTTCTGTTGTACCAGCTGCTCCTCACAGGCTGCAACATGGGCAAACTTGCTGAGGGTCACTCTGCTACATCATCCACATCATTAATGAAGATGTTGAATGGGACAACTCAGTATTGACCCCTGGGGTACACTGCTAGCTACTGACCCCCACCTAGACTTCATACCACTGATCACCACCCTCTGACTCTGGCCACTCAGCCAGTTTTCAATCCACCTCACTGTTTATTCATCTAGCCCATATATTACCAGTTTCTCTCTCAGGATTCTCCAGGAGGCAGTGTCAAAGCCTTACTGAAGTCAATGTAGATTATATCCACTGCTCTCTCTTCATTCACCAGCCCAGTAGTTTCATCATAGGTTATCAGGTTGGTCAAGTCTGACTTCCCCTTTCCCTTTCCCTTTGTGAATCCATCCAGTCATCATTTGACTGCCCTTCTCTGAAGCAGAGTCATGTACTGCAGTCTCAAGTTGCAAAACTGCAGTGGTAGAATTGGATTGTTCCTCCATTTCTCAATATAAACCAGAATGCAACAGGCAGATGAAATCCTATCAGCAGGAGTGCCACCATTTTTCCTATCTGAGATGATGCAAGTAGAAAAAATACCTTACTTCCTTTACAAAAATTCAGTGAATGGCCAAGTTAAGTTCAAGGAAAGACTGAGGAAAGGGATGCAAAGATGTTTAAAAACCAAATAATTGCTCACAGGAAAAAATAACAAGCCTTTTTAAACATGCAGTTTGTTTGTCTATCCATTTTGTCCTTTTATCATGGTCCTTCACCAGCGCACAGTGCAGAAGAGACCAGGCATTGCCATGTTATCTTTGGAGTCATTAAATGCTAAATGAGACTTCTACATTGTACTATTAAGCAAAGCTGATGACACAGCTCCCTAAGGGCACCTTGGTCTCATCCTGTTTGCATTAACAAAATCCCAGAGATACCACTATAGAGGATTTGAAAGGAAATTGTGGCAGAGAGGTTGATACTGGCATCTGTAAATCCTCTGCGTGCTTAATTAGGGAGCTTGGTGGTAATCTCTCTAAATAAAACTCTGCAAAGGGTAGCACTGGCGTTCTTGGTGCTTCCCTAAACCAAAACTGTCACTGCCTTCTGATGCTCTACAGGGATACAGAGATATGGGTTAATTCTGTTCATACAAAACAAAGGATGCATCCAGAACACAAAAGAGCGAGGCGAATGCCTTCTCCTCATGTACAGGGCACAAGTTACACAGAAACGTGAATGGGTTTCTACAGTGAAGTACATTAGTGTATTTCCTAACTTGCCAACTGCCTTCTGGATGTTGGAAAGCCTAGCTAAATAATCAAACATCTATGTTCTGTTTGTGTGCATGCACGTGTGTGTACCTAGAAGAGAGAGTATGTGCACATGCAAGCAGCTGCCTTTGTCTGGGTAGAGATGAGATGACAGTAACACCTAACTATCTTATAGATGTATGTATTACAGAGCTTCCCCAGGACCCCTAATTTAAAGGAGAGATTGAAAAGCAGCTTGCAGTATTACAATCTGCATGGCAGTAACAACCTTATACCATTTTCAGCAGGCCAGACTCCCTTTATCTCACTGTGTTTTTCTTTAAGCTGAACACATTTATAAAGTATGCACTGAAAGCTAATGAGAAGATCCTAGCTGCAAGCTTAGCCTCTGATCAGTGTCGTCAGTGACTAGTATTTTATTTCTCTTCTAACTTCTTGCCAACACAGGCAACCAACTGCTAACCTGAAGTTACATGGTTTCCAACCCACGTCTACTTTAAAAGCAGCAGCAATCCCATATGTTTCTTGCCTAGCACACAATAAACACAATGGCACTCTACCAACAGGCTATTTCAGCACCTGGTTATGTCTGAAACTCTCCTTAGTGCTTTGGGACACAAAGTAATTTCAATGAATCATGTTCAATTACAACATAGTTATTTCCAAGCTTGTTTGATGCTTAGCATTTGAGGAAAACGATATGTTTACTCACCATAAAGGATATATACCAAGCCTACTGACAATGAAGACAATGGCAAATGTAAGGAACAGAAGATCACTCAGTCTTTGACACTTGCAATAGTTCGCCATTTTGGCAGCCTGCAAAAGAAAGAAATGTCTGTTTACTTCTGAGAGGACAATTGTGTTCTCTTGTATTGTGCATAAGCTGTAAGAAGAAGAAATAATTTTTTTATGAAATCACTAACATTTTCATTGAGCCACCTCACAGGCGACCTTGTGACTCTTCTCCACCAAGCTGCTGGAAAATATCTTCTTGGAAAAAAACCCAGACTGCATAAAACCAGAATTCTTCTCTCATTTCTTCCTTCCCCATTCCATTTCCTTTTAAAAATCCTACAATTTCAGACTCACACACTCTTCTAAACCTTTTCTTGATCCCAATTGTGTTTATACTGTCATTGTCCCTAACCTCTTTACCTACCCATCTCTCACCTTTCCAGTATGCTCCACTTGCATTTTCAGCATCCATTCATCTTCCACCTGCCCCATGCTCTCTGTCATTCTTGTCTTTGCCATATATAAACTTTGTCTCAAATCTCCTACATTCTTCTACAGCATCTCTTCTTCCTTCCTGGCCTACACAGAACACTGTCCACCTCAAAGATTATACTCCTCCCCTTCAAATATTTTTCCAAGGCTCTCTTCCCCTCTCTTTCCAACTTTGGCTTTACAACTTGTTCCCTATGCCTATTTTTACATGCCTCTGTCATTTGTCTTCATGAAGTCTTCTGACTCCTCCTCAGCGAAGGAGTCACTAATTACTCTTCACTCAAACTGCTCATTAAAACCCTGGTCTTCTGTGAAGTTTCTTTGCTCTCTTCTCCCTGAAGAAAACAGTATGTACAAGCAAGGTTGTTGTTAGACATCTATGCTGCTTCCACAGCGTTCATGTGCATAAGCAGTCGTCTATGTTCAAACATCTGCTTCAAAGCAGGGACAGTCTTTCTTTCTGCTTTCTGTCAAATGTATCTAGAGAATCACTGCACAATGAAATACATGAAGAACTCTATTTAATATCCACTTAAGTAACTGGGAACTCTTTCAAAGCCACCCTCTGAGGGGACCTGTATCCATACTGAGAAGATGCTTACTTCCGCAGACTTTCCAGAGAGCTAGAAGGGAGCAAAATTACCACAACTATGCATACAGAACACTATTCTGAATGCAGAATTCAAACCAGAAGACTGCCTAAAATGCTGACAGGCACTATTGCGTTCTCTCTGATTTTTTTTTGTATGAACACACTAAACCTGAAAGGGCTCAGTGCTCATGTTGGACAATCTGAATGCCAAAACTAGCCTGCACTTCTGGATATTACCTAATTTCTGCAATATTCCCACTGAAAACCTGAATATAAAGGATATTACTCACTGACATAGAACAGGTTAGGAAGTGGGAAGCTCACGAAAGATGAGGAAAGCCACCAGTGGTGCAAAAAAACCCATAACCCTTCCAAATCAGCCCTATATTCCTGTGGACACAAATGAGTTTAAGGGAAAAATAACACTTTGGTGCCAACAAGCAAAGCAGAAGAGTCACTAACACCTTGATTTTCAGGTGACTGAAAGTTCACATAGGAATTTTGGATGTATTTCCATGGCAGCAGTCATAGTAATGTCACAGCAGTGTATAGGAGTCCATCTTTCCCCATATGGCATGGGGGCTATGACCCCCTGCCCTAGCAGAAGAAAGCCCCTTGAGTCATAATGGCTTTCCTAGTAAATGCTGGTCAGGGCTTGTGGTTCTCTATTTTGCACTTTAGAGTAGCTTTAGTATTTTCAGAATGAACAAATTGACTATAAAGACCACTAAAGTATGTGCCTCCTGGAGAAGTGTATTTGCTGAATGTTTGCAGATCATGTGAGAATACCAGCAATTTCTCCTTGTCTTAGCCAGTGACTGAATAGAGAAATTGAGCAAAAAGATGTATCTCACTGTGTGCAAGGTCAGGTTTTAGCTAGCCTATTACAGCTGCTCTCCAGTGGTTTTATAGTTCCACAGATACTGGTCTGATCTGGAATGAACTCCTTTGAGTATGATCTTCTGCTGGTAAGAAGAGGAATCGAGAAAGTTTGGGTAAACCCACAGCTAGCACAATGGATCTACACACATTGCTAAAACAGAAAAATAAACCTGTAAAGACGTAATTATTTCTTACAGGAGAAATACAGATCCTCTGTTGCTTTCTCAGGCAGTCATGTGCCTCCTAGATTAAAAAAAGATTAAAAAATAAAACCAGATTTACAGCACTATCAAATCAGAATGTCAGGATTTTGATTCTGCAATAGGTGACTCACACGCTGAGGCTATATTCTTGCATAACAGGATCCTTGCAACTACTTTAATAAAAAGTCATTTTAGACAAAGTTACTAACTTTCGTTTGATCACAGACAGCCCCATCTCAGCATCACCCAGAGCTATCTAAAAACTGATGCAGATATAGGATGACACCACCTCTAAATTGATGCTATGGAAGTTATAGACCATCTTGACTTAAAAGAATTCCAATCACCCTTCTTCTCCAAAGCCAGCTGCTTAATACTGCTATCTGCATGCAGAGGCATGGGAACCTGGAAAATCCTGGGGATCAGAAGCCAGCTCACTGCCCGTACCCATACACAAACAGCCACTGAATTGTCCAGCACCCTCTGCCCAGCAAAGCACAGCAGAAACAAACTATAACACCCTGATTCTCTTGGAGATGGTGTTCTTGCCCCAAACACCATGTCAGAGGGGTCAAGATCCAGAAGGTTCTATCCCACAGTCACCACCTTCCAGATTTTGCAACTTTCGACTTTACCATGTTATATTTCATATCTGTGTAACTCTCCCTGGCATGCAATGCATTACCAGTCTCTACTCTGTACAAGCAACTTATTACAGGACAAACCAGCCTGAAGTCACAAACATGCACTGCTACAAGTGTAATATATTTCAGCAAGGAAATACACTATATAAATCACCATTACCATCTTGATCCAGACTCTTCTTAAGAAACACTCATTCTGCATAGCAAATAGAGTCTACCTACTAACATGTCAGCTCTCTGAACAGTGAATGCCATGTACAGACGTCGATAATATACATATTTTCTCACCTCTAGGACAACATCAGCCGCATCGTGGAGACATAAAGTCAAGGTTCCCACTCGTGTCAAATTGGTTACATATGAGAAGGTTATCAGGGTGACTGTTACAATGTGATGTGTAAACATGATGCCAAAATCCTAGAGCAGCAAGAAATGGGGGGCGGGGGGAGAAGAAAAAAAAAACAACCATTGAAGCAAACAGTGAGATTCAGTACTCTTACAGGAAAATGCATGGATGTTTTTTAAACCCAGCATCATGGTTATGTTACATAAAGATCTTGCTATGTAAGTGCATTAAATACTCTGCTATACGTTTCATTCAAAGTGAATAAAATAGTCATTGTATGTTAACAAAATGCAAATATATTATTGAAAGTTAGGCAATATCTACACTTCTCGGTTCACAGTAATTTAACCTAATGAAGTAAACATTTGTGGCTGAAGTTACTTTGGAAATGCAAATATACATACAGGTCAAATTACACCATATTTTTTGTACACCAAGCAACATACAATACACAAAATAATGTGGCATTCACAAGAGTTCAAATAGCAACAAAGAAATGGGAAACACATTTCCACAGCACTAGGAGTTATCAGCAGTCACCTGCCAAGCACAACTGAGAGCTTTCACAGTGCTGAGAATCCCAGTACCAGTTTCTTGTTTTTTTAATGAACCTGCTTTGTCTTCACACTGTAACAGGGTCAGAAAAGTCTTCAAATGATTTGGTGTACTTTTGCCTACTCAGATCTAAACTGCTGCTGCCTCCCAAATGATGCAGGTTAGGGGGCCAACAGGTAACTGTTACTATCGAAAAATACCCCATACATGCCAAGGGGCAGGCAAAACAGAGGGAACAGAGTGCCTCCCTGGCCTAGACTCCTAGACTGGTTTCCCAGAGAACGCAACCTGCAGAGATGAGACTCTTCTCTGCAAGGCACCAACTCGGTCAAAAAGAAGTCTTGCTGGAGTTTGCTGAACTACCTGCACAGCTTTGAGGAAGTGCTATCAAAACCCTGAAGGTCAGATCACAGTGATCATTTGTCTGGGGATGACTGTAAACATGGGGAGTTTCTCCATGCACTGGGTGCAAAATTACTACCAGAGCTCTCAGTAGATCTAGTAGCTTTCATGTAGAGCTGTCTGAAAGGACAGAGATCCAGGCAGCCTGCTCGACAAGCATCCTGGAAGGTGGAATTTGGCTATCTTGGCAGCTTTTGTGGGTCAGTCTTGCTGAGCTAAGTGGTCCTCAGGAGCGAAAGCAAAACTGAGACTCTGCAGTCTTCAAAGAGGCAGCACCTGGTTTGCAGAGGGACTGAAGGTATGTGTGTCAGGCAGAAGTGCCTTACAGAAAGTGCCTTACAGAAAGTGCCGATGAGCTCCCACTAACACACGGTCAGTTCCAGAAAAGCAGCAGCTACAGCTGCCAGGTGTTCTGTCTCTCCGATACTGGCAAGAGTAACTGCCCAATGTCACCATTCTCCTCTTTGGGAATGCAACAGGCGCATAGCAGGCACCACTATTTTCAAGGATGTGCAGTGCCACTGCCTCTCAGTACCAGCAGCTGGCTTCCCTGCAACATACACTTGGAGTCTGTGGAAAAACCTGCATCTTGAGCAGTCCCACTAAACGAACAGGGAAAGGACCTGCTTTCAGCCTTCCATTTTATGTTTAATGCCATCAGATGCTATAACACAAAGCTGAGGGGGAGGAGAAAAGAAAGTAGAATAAAAAGAAAAGAAAAAAAGGGACTAAAAGCAGTGAACTGTATCCTAATTTGGTATATGCTCAACATTTCTCAGCCAGGTTATTTGATCCCCAGCAGCGTGGAGCACAATCAAATACATTCATCAGTCATATCAAGCCATTGCTTTCAATCCATTTTCTTAGAGCAGAGTGAACAAAAAGAGAATTAAAGGCTGTTTCTTTTTCTAAGGGTCTTAAAGGAAGGCAGAAGTCTGGCATCTTAGTCATTTCAGTAACTACAAACCCACACCTGGGTACCATTTCACCATATCATAAATCAGAACAGCAAAGCATCTACCTTAATCCCTGGGATCAGAAACAAGCTGCTAGCACTGCCATTTGGCAATACTGCAGCCCAGCTCTACCTGCTTCAGCTGCAAATGCTATGGTGCTGTTCTTCATTTTCCTTCTAACTCTAATTGTGTTAGCACATAGGCAGTCCAAACGGGGGAAGAAGTCAAGTAGAAAATCTTCTCTGTTTTTATAGCTGACACATTCATGTTCTACAAATACGAGATTCCTAGTCCCTCTTGGGAACTCTTCAAGGCACACCTGACAATATGGATTATTCCTAAACAGCCCTAATGCTCTTGGGCAGCAGTATTCTGCACTTCTGCATGAAGTCTACTTGCAGAAATGCTGTCCAGGGAACTCCTCTAATAATGTTTCTTGAAAGACACAGTTATCTGACTCTGCCAGCTCTGAAAGAGAGATGCTGCAATGAGCTACTGAACACTGTTAGATAAAAGTAGCAGTGATATAAGTAAGACTACTTTTGTAATTCTGGTCCTTTATTTTCTGTTTCCTCTTTAAATCAGTAACTAATATTATGCTTTGAAGATGCGACCTGTTAGATTTTAATTATACGTAAGGGTAATGACTACATGGAAACTAATGGTACAAGTCCCCATAATGTCAAATGGTACTTGTGTTCCCAGATTACTCAAGCACTTTCACCCATACATGGCAGAAAAGCAGCTGTATGGGAATGGGCTTTTTCTTTTTTAAAATCTATTTCAAACTGTATGTTTTTGGAAGATGCGTTTATTTACAGCAGATTTGTAGCCTCCAGTTGTAACTGCTGAAAGATGTCATGTGCCTGTGAAAATATGTAGCTAAGAATAGGAGAAAGAACATACTTCTGACACCATCAGTGGGAAGAACACAGATTAGACAACAGAGAAGCCCCATGGGTCTCAACTTGTAGACAAGCCTTCTGGGATTAAGACTTCTGCTGCCCATGTTTGTTTAACATGTCACATTCACTGACCAACTGCCAAATGGCTACGGAGCATTAGTGCCACTGAAGAGCAAAATATCATCTTCATTAGTCACTCCAGCTTCTGGAAAAGGGCTATGTTAGAGATCAGCAAGGAAAGGGAATATTACCAGCTAAAGGTTTCAACCATTACAATTCTAGTGAAGGTCTGCAAAATGTACACAATCTAAATTCCTTTCCTCTGAAATAAAAAGAAATCAGCTCTATGAGACACTTTTTTTACCAAGTTTGAAGGAAGAGGTCTAGGATCCAAATTCAGTGGAATATAGCATACATTTTCTAGAATCAATATGGAATATTCAAGAAAATTAGCATCTGCAGATTATTTTATCTTAGAAATGAGTGAACTGTCATTAAAAAATCAAAAAAAAAAGTGAAACACAGAAGCTATAGGAATTGCCAAAAGCTTGGAACTAAAAGATGTGAATACACAGAAAGGTCCCCCAGATCTTCTACAAACCTATTAAAACACTGTATAGAAATTTTATATATACCCTTAAATATACTTATCAAATATTTTTCTATCAAAAAATACTTCAAGTATCCAGAGAGCTCGTAAATAAGCCTCAGTGCTTTTAAAACTCATCAGGGTCTTGTGAGAGTAACAAAGTTCCCTGATCTAATTTTTTTATTCTGTGTTTTACAGGAGTATGGGAAGCTGGACAGAGATGATAAAACCCCAAATCATACTAGGTTGCTGTCTTTGAAAATGAAAACCCTTACATGTAGAGCATCATTACAGCAACTCAGTATTTATGAAGCAAACAACATGCCATTATAAAACCATCAAAGTTAATCTACTCAATTCACTGCCCTAATGCCAATTTTAGGTATGTGCAACAGCCTAAACAGTTTGCTCACACCTCTTCAGCCAGGCAGAGATAATCTGGTAGCATTTATAACACCTAATAAAGATAAACAGGTATCTGAAAGTCAGCAAAACAATTGGAAGTAATTTTAAAGTCATGAATTTGCTATTAGAGAGGAATAAAATGGAGACGGCAATCAGCAAGCACATTTCTTTCGAGCTACAGCAAGTAAAAGACCACTGCTGAATGCTGGTGCTTTCACAGAGGACCTACCACACCTAACCCTGAGAGAAACCTACCTACATAGAAGTGGTTGGCTGAATTCCTGCAGTGCATGAAGCTGCCAGGGCACTTTTGATCATCCTCGACTACAACGCAGCTACTGCTGAATTTAAAATATCTAAAATGATAACCAAGATTTACATAAAAGTGTTCCTCTCACTGTAACATGAAAACATCAATAGGTTTCTCAGGCTGAGAACTATTAATCTGCTTTGTATAAGTTGTCATGAAGCATTTCAATAGCACCTGCTATTAGCTGGCAAATTCCCTGCTTTTTCAGTTAAACACAGCCTTATTTGACAGGGGCACTGTTTCACACATTGCATATTGGGCACATTAAGAGGTTTCCACATTTTTTAAATGCAAACCTGTTCTTTAAAAGAGAACTTAGGGTGCTGCAAGAGCTGGTGTCTCTGTCAAGCTTGTACTACTTTTTGTCAACTACTGTAAGCTCCCAGTGCTAACATTTTGCAACTCGTGGGTTTCCTTGACAGCTTGCACTTGCCCCTGGCCACAGAACAGTTTTACTATGTGACACTAGCACATGGCTGCATTTCTCCAGTCTGATCCTCCTAGTTAGCAATTTTGCTTACACTATAAAAAGAACTGCCTCCACAGTCCAAACTGGTCAGTGATCTAATAGGTTATTTATAAATATGGCATCTTTACTGTCTCCTGCAGGATGCTTGTAATGAAAGGCTTTTGACTTGCCATCATTGCACTGCAGGTATTGTGCTCCTGCTCTCTGCTGGAGTTGAATGTTCTCAGACACAGCAGATGCATGGGTGTCATGGTGTCCCATTTGTCACTCTTTCACCTGGTGCCCTGGGTTCAAGCACTGCAAATCTGCAGCAGGGGTGTTACTTAGCTGTTAGTGATCCACTTCCCCACCTCCATCTCCCCATTCTATTTCCACAGCAGGCTGCTGCAAAGTCTTCCTGATAACAAGTACAAGTCATTTATATATTACTGAGAAACAGACTTGCAAAAGGTAGTTTACTTGCACGTGTACCATGGACAGGATCAGGCTTTAGTTCTGTGCACAGCTCAACAGTGGGAACAAAATCCCCAAACCACAAGGGAAAAAGCTATAGAATTTGCTCATGAGATGTATTACATGAGAAAGGTATTACTGACCCTCCCAATGGTCCTTTTCAGAAGTGTACTTCAGCGCTGAACCTAGATGTTGTGCAGGTAACCTCCAATTACTTTTCAACATGAGCAAAGCTAGTCAGGACAGGAATCAATTAAATATTCTTTAAAGATGTACTGTGCTACAAAATTGCAATACTGTTGCAATTGAAATGATGTTACATTTTCCTCTCCCTCAAGAGGTACACAAAGAAAATCAAACATAATCAATGGCACAGTGCAGAGGGCTGAACATGACTGTAGGGGGGCTGACTAGACACAATACATTTCTGCAGCAATAACCTGAACAATTCTGTAACACTGCTGCAGAGGTTTGGGTTTGGTTGATAATTCACAAATGGCTATTCAGTACTGCTGGCACCTGCAACTTAATGTGTATTAGTCAATGTTACTCTTGATTTAAATTCATCTCCTGCCCATGTCAGGGGGGTTGGAACTAGATGATCTTAAGGTCCTTTCCAACCCAAACCATTCTATGATTCTATGATTATACAGCTCCATTGAGCAGTGTTTTTCTGCAGCTCTGTTTTTTTAAACATTGAAGTTGTACTCATGTCAAGCTTATGATGAACAAAACATTCAGCATCTACAGACAATGCAAGCAAGGGATATACATGTATTTATCCTAAGTTGGTTGTTTTGCCTACAGTTTAGCTTCCAATATGGATTTAAATTTTGCGGATGCTTTTTCAGAAGTAGAAATCCCAAGAATATTTGGAAATTCAAATAGAGAGGTGTTTTTCTGTATACGTAGCAATGACGCAAGATTCCCAGGAGCACACTGTGGTTCCAAATAGCAGATAAGCTTATTCAGGACATACTGGATACTTCATCTACTCTTTTAAGACTTATGCTTCTGCTAAAATTCTACTGAACAGGGATTTTTCCATTAGTACAATCATTTAATTGACAGCTGAGGAAGGCAAATAAAATATTATAAAATCCTTCCAAATATTTCAGACAAATAATTTTCTGAAATTTAAAAAGCCTGCAAGAATAGTCAGTCGCCTGTTGTTATAGAATGGTTGTTGTGCTGCTTGTTCTGCTCTGGATCAGCATGTTCCTTGGAGGAGAGAATTTGGATGAAGGAATACAGAACAGCTTGAAACTGATACTGAAAAACACATTTTTAACAGGCCAGAATTTTATTTTCTTCATTAGTAGCTCCTTAATAGCAATGATCAGCTATTTGAAATTTCATAACAGTAAAGGTAAGATTAAATGTAACACAATTTTTAATATTAAATTTATTCTTGTTTATACCATCCCTTTGTAGAATAAATTAAAAATGCCCATAGATCTTACCAAAGTGGTACTGTGAATTTATGAGGCAGTCTTGTTCTGTCATTGATATTTCATGATTCAACTCTTAAAAGAAACAGTATATCTACTAACTACTACGTGTTCAATTCCATTCACATCACTGTATAAGAGCAAAAGCTTTTCTCAGTTGCTATTTCCCCTTGAATACTTGATTACTCCAGGTTCTTCTTCCCATGTGTAGAAAAACTCCACATCATAGTAACAAGAAACAGAGTAGACAAGCACTTCAACACCAATTTCTCAGCAATGAGTATATGAAAGAGGGTGTCTAGAAAGAACTGTATTTCCAGTTCACTGCACAGGTAATACAAGTATTCCTCAAGTAAAGAAAGATATGAATTTAAAACTTTCAATGATTTTAGTCTCATTGTTCTTACCTTTCTCTTGATGTCAATGAATTGAGAAAACATTAAGGACCAGTAGAATGACAATTCAACTATGTAGTAATAATGAAGGTCAGGCATCAGTGGCTGAAAGATGGAGATGAGAAAAGGTTAATAGAGTCTAACTGACATTACAGGCAGCTGAGGTCTATGTGGAACATGTTTAATCACAGGGTGATTACTGAATTATATATAAGCACCCTTTGTAAGAAAAATTACGATGGTTGCCTCTTTCAAACTTTGGTGCCCTGGAAAAAAAACCCTCCCCAACCTACCCTCCTTTTATATTTTAATCTTTACAGTATTAATACTCTAATACCAAAAAATTACAATGTTGTCCATTAGAACTAACTAGTTAGTTAGAACTAAATTCTGAGTACTACTAATTTTGTTTTGAAAGATCACTTGAAACATCTTGCTGTACATCAGTAATGTGGGTTTACAGCTCAGCAAAAGAAATAATGCTAGAGCAGATTAAAGTAATGCTATGAGCATATAATCACATCTGCTTATGATGAAAATGTTGAGCATTAAACAGGGCTCTTTCTAAACCAAAATCCTACTTTTAAATAATTTAACCTTTTTCTGTGAACATGTTAAGATTTAGAAAGAAGAAAATAAAACAGATCTATCCAGGCATCTTGCTTGATACACAACATGGTTACACAGATGTTTAAATGTATAATAAAAATAACAAGACACAGGAACTTGTGCACAACCAAAACCAACCTGAGGTAACTTTGAAGAAGGTAACTGGTAACACGCATAAGCTGTTTAGCCCCCGGCCTAAGAGAGACAGTCCTAGGACCTCCTCTAATTTCTGTGCGATTGTGCCTCCCTGTTAGCCATGCCTTCCATCATAGTGTGAGAGAGGGGCACTGGCATAAGAGAAGCTCCTGAGGGCATCTCCTAAGGGATTAAATGAACCATCTCCAGAACATTTTGCACTGGCACAACCACATACCCAATCAGGGCATGAGCTATTTCCACTGGCAACAAACAGTTCAGTTGCCTCTCTTGTTCCTATTCTCTTCTGCAGACCAGTCCTTTTCAGCTGAAAAGCAGCCCTTAGGTTCCCACTGAATGCTTTATGTGGGTTATTTAAATAGAGGCATATGCTTATGCTTTGTGAAAAATGTGTACACTCAGAATCAATCTTTTAAAACCATTTCTTGGGCCAATATAATAATTTTTCTGATTCAGTGAGACTGACAATAAGCTTTTAACTAGGTGTAACTAAAAAAGAGAGGAGGAACATGAGCTAGCAATGAACAACTATTATACTCATTGCAAGCACTGGGCTTGATCACTGGGGAACATATCTAGTAAAATAAAGAAGATTGTCAGCTGCTTTATTAACAGCTGACAATTATAAGTGTCATTAGTATTTCTAAACCCATACATAATGATAATGTATGGGGATTCTAAAGATATCATGGTTTCACTCCATGGAAGGGTCAAGGGTGAAAGGATTAAGTTTCACCCTGTATGCAGCATAACAGCTACGAGAACTATACTGGCTTTTCCCAACCCACTGAATCTGAGGCTTTACTAAAACTTCTAGTATTCTCATAACTTTCTAAAAATGACCATTCTACCACTGTTGCAGATGTCTGCTTTCATGGTTAGATTTCCCAGATCTGTTTTCAGATCCTGTGCTTTATTTCAAAACAGGTGTGAGAGCTAGATTCACCTTTCCCATCTTGAACTCAAGCAAGATGAGGAGTATCTAGCAATGTTCTGAAATTACAAGTAACCCACTGACACTAACATATTGACACAAAGCCCCGCCATGGTAAAAGCAGAGGTCTGCAGAGATGTCATATTGGGTTTTAGGCAAAGTTTTTTATTTTGGTTTTTGTAACTTTTACCTGATATGGATACCCGTTCCAGCACTGTCTGGTATTCCAGAGCCAGGGTGTCTGAGAGAGAAAGAAAAGGAAAAAAAAAAAGAGGGTCTGTGCACACCATTTTGGGCAATGTAAGCATATATAGTTAATACAAGTGAAGGACAAAACTACAGGAACAGCTTAAAATCTGTGATTTTTGATAGAGGCTATTAAAACTGAATACAACAAGGTGATTCCTCAAAGTTTCACAGCATGAATTAGAACAACCTGCCTGTTCACAGAGATTTTTAGTTGGTGGCCCATGACCTTACTTTTGCAGGAGTGCAGGCTGAACATAAACAGCTTGTGCTCAGGTGGTCAGATCTTACATTTCCTTCCCAATAGCACAGGAAATTTTGGCCTTAGGCTGCTCAAACATTCTAAAGAATGTTCCTTGCATGTGCTGTTACATATAAGCATCCTTCCATACAGGATCCATTCTTCATCCCAGCCACATCAGTTTAAAATAGCAAATCATACTTTTTGCTTTCCTGGCTGAAGTCATGACCATCCAGAGATGATAGATCTTGCTGTCACACAGAAAAGACTAATATCTTAGGGCAACATGAAAGGTGCCAGAGAGAAATTTACTTTAGTGCATCTACAGACTCTTGCGCTGCAAAAAGCTGGGCAAACTAAAAGACTTGGGAACATGCAGCACTGTTATGCTTCCTGTTTCTTTGCTGCTTGCACAAGATTTATGTGATTATTTATCTTTCAGTGCTGCAAGAGAGCCTTTTAAATCTTTCCTGGTAAGCAGGTTGATTCTTTCAGAGTTCTTTATTTTTTACCTCCTTCTCTATGAAACTAAATGGACTCAAGATAGAAATTACCATATAAGCAAGCTCTTCTACCCAACATACTCAACCATTAAGTGTTTCCATATTGGGTAATAAGAACATGACGAAACCAACAGCTACCAAGGAGCCACACTTCCATTTTTGTGCATGAGCAGGAACAACTCCTTTCAGATATGCATGTCTTGCAAAGCACAGCTGCATCTCGGGTTCTGGCAGCATCTGTGCTCTTTGAGAAGCATCTGTCAACAGTACAAGTACCCGCCCATTGGGTATCTTGTTAGAAACATGAAAGAAAATTGTGGATTCAAGATCTTTGCGAAACTCCAACATTAACTACTCTACATCCAATATAAAGGTGGCAGAAAATTATCAGTAAGTCTCCTGGATAAAGGCATACAGACACACACCCTTACAGCATTATATGCTTCCACTAGGTTACATTTTCTCAGATAAATCCTCATTGCGTGAGATACGGCCTTTTCTTGTTTTCACCATCAGGTGGAGCAGTTGAGCTCAGGCAAAGCCTAATGACAAACTTATGCAAAATACAATGGGTGAACGAACCAAATAAAATAAACACTAGGCAGAACGTTAATCCCCAGGCTGAGAATCAGGCTAGGCAGGGAGAATTCGTACCATATCAAAAGCCAGAATAAATGCTAGTCAAAACTATAGCCCAATTCCCAACTGATACTTAAGTACTAATTGTGATGTGTCTTACGGAAGCTTGTTACAGCCTTTTTTGTTGGTTAACAGTGATGTAATATGATCACTAAAGGCTCTTTCTATTTTTTTTCCGATGTGTCCTTCACATGGAAAATAAGATAAAATAGAACTTGCACACCCAATGCTCCTGAAACGGCAAGAAGTAATTTTTACAGTAACCTGAGTAGTACACCAGCATTAAAGTAACAGACCTCCTACGCCTCTCACAAGGATGTTGTAACAATGGTTAAAGTCCACCCAAACTTCTCCTCCTCTCTATTAGGAATAATTTTTTCAGGCAAGCAATTATTTTTTTCAAAGTATCTCCACAGTAGTTACCGTGCTAAGTGAGTTCCCCTCATTTCATGCAACATAAAGGGTCTCTGGAAAGAGCGACAGCTCCTCTGCAAGTGTTACTAATATACGGAATCTGAAATATTTCTGTCTGACAGCTGCCTAAATTAGATCTATCCAAATATTATAGGATAATTCATAGTTTTAGCCAGGTTTGAAAAGCTGTAACTGTCTTTCATATCAGATTCAAAAAGAGGTAAGAGATGCTTCCTACCCAATTATTTTGCTACCTAAATTACAGGTGCTAGCAAAAAATGCACATTTTTCTCTTTCAAATATTATGACATCTTAAGGCTTCTTTGGAGAGATGCCTGCTGTAGGAGCTGCAGATACAGAAGTTTATGTGTAATTAACATGCTGAATGCTAAATAAAATAGGCCTCACTGGAGGAACCCATAACCACAAAGACTGAAAGGATACCACAAACTGACAAACAATACAATACATGCAATTAGGCCTCAAAGACCGACAGAACATCTGCCTCTTGTCGAGCTGCGTAAGGCTTGGAAAGCCATGCTGCCTTCTCAGACAAAATGCTTCTGGGTAGCTGTTTGGAAACTTATTGGATCCTATGTGGGCAGCAGTGGTTAAGACAGCAGGGCATCTACACCACCTTCTTACACCTATTTCCTCCCCAGCTTCCCTCTCCTTGACTTGTCTTGGCATCTCTTGAGCTGACTCTAACAGCTGTAGCAGAAGGGGACTTTGGTTATGCTTGCCCTGCAGGGTTTTAAGGAAGAGGCAGAGAAAGAGCTTGATTTAAACACAGCTTTCCCCTCTGACCTCTACAAAGAACACAGTCCTAGGCTGAAACTAACTTCTCCAGGTAGACCACGGCTGTAGTTGGAGCAAGAAGTATTGCCTAGTCCTCTGTGAACCTCCCAGTTGAGGGATATTCTGTGCAGGCTTTGGCAGGAAGGACAGAATCCTGAGAAGGCCCACAGTCTGCAGAGTGACACTGAAACACGCTGAAAAAGGGTGGATTAATCAGAAAGCACCTAACACTGGCATTCCCAGGGCTTAGCTGTGCCTGCATGTGCTCCCAGGATACACTGATGAACTTCCCCACACCAGGCAAGCTCACTGTGGAGCAGAGCCCAACTCTTCCTGACGAGTCCTATGATGGACAGAAAGAAAAGGTCAGTGACTTGGCTTTGCAACAGATCCATTTTTGATGAACATAAAAAGTGTGCTGTTTCCACTGCCTGTTGAATACCCAAATTTCCACTTCTTGTTCTTGGTATATAATCTCTGAGGAAGGGAGGAACCTGAGGGGACTGGAGAAAAGAGGAAATGCAAAGATCCTGATAACAAAAGGCATCCTTAAGCTGGAAAGAGAATACTAAAAATTTCAGTTCCAGTTATGTCAGGCGCAAAAAACCAGCCCTACAGTCCTGACACTCTCCCTTACAGAACATAGAGGAGTTCAGATAGAAACTTAAGCTTTACCCCACTTTGGTGCAGTGCCTCAACCATGCAGTATCAATGACAGAGGAGGATTATAAACAGCTGTTGAATCTGCTGTCATTTACAGTATTAAGGAACAAATCTCTATTATTTTTGGTTCCTGACAGGAATATCCATCAAAAGCTCCATTAAACCTCTCTCCAACTCTGTGATTAAAGGAAGTAATTTTAAAGAACTCCTTCAGAAATAAAACTTCTCTTGAGACAAGGGAATGACTGGAGATTTGGAAAAACAAAAAAGCAAATGATCTGAGATGTCTGCATGCTTAGCCAGAAGCCTCGGGTTGTTTTGCATTCGCTGTCCCATTCACTTATCTTTTGAGAAAGCTTCTAATTGGGCTCTGGCTTTCAGAAGCCCCAAAGCAATGAAAATCTGCCTGTCTTGCTCAAAGTGCTGCTAGTACCTAGTATGTGAAAGGTCAGTTTTGATACTAAATGGAGGGGGGTAAAAAAAATAGTACAATAAAACCCTCCCATTTGTGATCAGTTCTCTTACAGCCCATTTGTCTGAAAGGTATTTTTATGTGCCTTTTATTAGTGAGGCAACAGATGCACCTAATGAAGTATTATTATTTTAATATAAGAAATTTTGGTTCATCATACAGTAATAAAAATAACAAAGAATACTCCTCCTCATCCCTATCTACCCAGCAGAACCCACTAAGTATAGGAAACACACAAAGGTCACAGGCTAAGTTCTCAAAGAGATGGACAAGAGCTGTACATGTCATGAGCAAGCACTTTCCCATACTGTCAGCAAGCCAACCATCAGACGTGTGTATCAGGCATGTCATGGGTTTAAAGTGAATTCCATAACCTATTCATAGAATGTAAATTGTGTCTGTAAATATAAATATATTACATATAGGTCACATAAATTTGCAAAGTAACTGCTTTTGGGCAGCTGGAGTTACTTCCACAGTTTGTCTCACTGCAAGTTGCTCTATCAGCAACTGAACTGTTTTTCCTTGCACCCAGCACAACCAGAAATCCCAATATGCAAGTTGCAACCACAAGCACTGGTGTTGCTTTGCCCTTGGAAGTGTGAGCCTACAGATAAATAAGATGTGTGGAAAAAATTAATAAATAGTGTTGCTGACACTAATTTTTTCTTTCATAGTCCATAAACGTGAACAAGTAGCATATTGAAGAACCACTTGAGAAATACATCACTAAGCCTCATGACAGCAAAACCCAGGTCTCCACAGAGCAGCTTTTGCCCTAGCAGTTTGGACTATTTAGAAAGAGCTGTTATGCATCTGATTTACTCTTGATCACACAGGAATGTTGTAACTCCCAAAGGGGTTCCTTCCTAAATTCTCAGATAACTAACAAAAATCTTCTGACTTACCCAGCAGATAAAGAAATACTGTTTGCCTGCTGTTTTTGTCAGAATACAGCATGTAAAAATCCAGGAACATCATGACAGAACCCCCACATCGCACAAAAGCATATTTATTCTTAAATCCGCATTCAAACCAAAATGAGACATGATCAGTCCAAAAATAGATTTTAAGTTGCTTTTGAAAATAGATTTTTTCATTTTGTGAAACAAAACCAGCACAATACAGAAATCCTGAGCATTCACTGTGTATGTGCTCACTACTCTACAATCTTGAAAGGCAGATTTTATCTGGCTTGGTTAATATATTTGGATAGAGCTTTACATAATTTGTCTCTCATAGCTACAAGCAGTAATAAGTGGAAC